TTCAGGTTTGATGAACAAAATATTGGCAACTACAGAGCTCAACCCCACTTCTGAATCATTTTCAGGACTGGCTGCTTGCTTTGTTCTCAGGTGACTGGTTCACCAAGTCAACATCTCCTGCCTGGTGTAATTGCAAGAATGCCGTAAGGAAATGACACTTTACCTTTCCTAAACAATAACAGAGCTGGCGTACCGTATGTGAATAAGATACTCTTAAGTCCACCCATGCTCATAGTATTAAAACACCAAGCCAGATTTGGCTCTCATTTTTTATATTAGTTGTATAGTTACTGTCTTAGGGAGTTAGTAACGTTAGTGATGAACAGTTTGTGGAAAAAAAAACCTATTGTATTTCAGAAATTATGTTTGGCTAATCTAAATCCGGTGTTACTAGGCGGGCAGGAGGCAAAAGCTTGTTCACTCATCTCACATGCTCTGAGATCGTAACGAGTCAAAGGATGCTTCCTCCATACACCCCAAGTCCCCGTGTCCTGAATCTCCCAGTTGTGCTTAGTCTTGAAGATTGGTAGATTATTCAATTGCCTTTTAATTGGCAAAAATTAGTTTTAAAAGCCTCAAGAGGCCAACTTCTTGACCAGCAAAGTTTGAAGCTGGCTTCAGAGAGGATCCTCCAGATGGAAGCAGATGGGTCACTCTTCCTGTGTCTTGGACACAAGGGACACTTTTATGTCTTGAGTTAGTGTTGTGTTGGGATAGCTGTTGAAATCAGGCTAGGAAAGGTTTCCTACCACTCTTGTACATGCCTGCAAGTGGTAGGGAGTTTGCTTCTGCTTGTGTGAATTCTGTGTCCTGACCGTTTTATTTTCTATATTTTTTTGCTTGAAGGATAACATCAAGATTGAAACTTCCTGTTGCTACTAACTAAAAGGATAATTAATATAGGCCCAGTGCTTTGACAGAGAAAAAAAAAAAAAAATCCCCAAACCAGATGCTGGTGTTAATTGGACACTGAAAAGCTTCAAATTATTCATTAGCCTGTTGGTACGTTGTTCCCAATCACCTGCAGTTCAATTTCAGTCAGAAAGTGGTAAGATAATTTTTTTTTTTTTTAATTAAGGTGACATTCTAAATTAACCTGTTAATAACTGGCATTAACTTTTTTCAGCAGTGCAGTTACAAGTGGATGGATTCGTAGCACTGCTCTTGAGCCAAACAAGAAATATGGGATCCAGCGCAGAGTTGTTAAATACTAATGAATAATTTATTTAATGAATTTTGTCTTCCTCTGTTTGCTGTGTGACTGGCAGAGCACCAACCTTCTCCAAATGTTCCATTGTTCAGAATTACTCAGATTTTGGGGGCCTTATTGCTTCAATTTGCTACCAAGTTGCTAACTCCTTTGCTGTATTCTGCACTAGGTAAGTACCTTATCTGTTAACTTCCCTGATCTGGCTAAGAACCATTTTTGTATCATAGGTTTTGGTGGGAATACATATGGGTAATTAGTTTTTAAATTCAGTTTCTGTGGAAGCTTAGCATGTGTGTTCTGCTGTAAACCTAATTGTGTACATGATCATGAAAGTGAATGCACAGTGGCTCAGACATCAAAGTGAATTAAAAATATGTTGAACTGCAGAAATATTTTATACTATATCTGGCTGGATTCAGGTTATTATTCACTTTTGCAAGATTAATAGGACTTTTGGAAGAAAAGTGAACTGTCTCCAAAAGCATTACTGGAAGAAAATTGGCTTTCAATGCACATCTAGTGTAAAGAAATATGTAATAAAATTCTTTCCAAGATTCATAAACCCTTGCACTAAAGGAGTCTAAGCTGTAGGTCTGGCTGTTTATTACTCAACTCTTGATTGCTGAAGCAGCTCTCTTTAGAAGATGCTCTGCACAGGTAGTTATCTTTGACCAGATATAAAACCAAACCAAAACAAACACTACAAAGTATTCTGGTATACTGTGCTGCAGTGAAAATGAAATTCCGAGTCCATGGAAGAGGGGGCTGCATTGGGATGGGGCTTTTGCTGGAAGTGTTGCCAGAAGAAGAGATCATCCTGAGGTGTTTATGGAGTTGGGGAGCATCATCGCTGCTCTTGTTCCTGGGCTGCTGCTGTATTTTAAGCTCACGTGCTCCTGCTGCTGCTGGCTTGCCCCATGCCCTGCAGTAATCTGGTTTGCAGGAAGACACTTGACATAAGAATTTGTTTTGTGCTTATTTTTCTCGTTGTCTGTCATCTTCTGACATTTGCACGTGATTTAAAATTGTAATAGCCTTGTCCTTACATCTTACTATATCATCTGCTTCTTGAAGACTACCAAATCTGCTTCTGTTGGAAGAGGCTTTGTTGTGTCTTTTCTTCTCCTGCCCTCTGGCAAACAGTTAAGTCTGGAGGTTGTTACTGAGGTCTGAGGAGATGTTTTTCCTTCTGAAATGTGAGAGAGACAGACACATGCAGGAGCTCATGTATAGAGTTGCACCGAGGCAGGAGAAAAAGGGCTTCAGTGTTCATTGCTGGACCTCTGCTGCGAGCAACTGTGGGACCGAGGTCAAAATATTTCAAGTGCAAATGTGGTTTGCTTAGTCCCTGAACACAGATTGTTTGGCCTACCTGGCCTGTCACAGACAATAGCTTTTAACTGGTCTTTAAAATCAATTGGTGCAATAACATTTATGGCACACTGGCTTTTACTGGAAGTCTCTGTCCTGTAGGAAACCAGGACCTAGGTCCCGAACGTACATGCTTTGAGCAGTAGTCAATTATTTGATAGCTGGCTTTTTTCCTGCTAACTATTTCCATGACGTTGTATGTCGTGTTACCCACAGGCGTATTGAGATGATGAAGTGGAATGTTTTTTTAATTACTATTTTTGATTGATTTGAGAGGGCATGGGGGGGCATGGGGATCTACTAGTGAAGACTAAAAAAAAACAAACCAAAAAAACCCAAGCCACAAGGATTTGAACAGTGTGATTCAGTTGCATTTATTCTCCCTTTGCAAAATATAATAATTACTTTTTAATTCTTATTTCCTGTCTGAATAATTGCATTTTGTACTCGAATGTGTGTTCCTCTGAATTACACTCTTCTTAATGGGCTTCCTGCTTAACTGCATTTCTTCCTTCTGTGCCCTTCATAGTAACATAGATGTTTGTATTTGTCTCCTGTTCCCTACTTTTTGTATATTCCCCCACAATTCATACATTTCAGCAGGGCTTTCAGATCCCACTTGTTTTGCCTGAGTTCACTGTAGGTACCAAAGGCTGTTGATTTTCTGTCAGTTGGCAGTTTCACCTATTTTAAGGAAGACTAGGCAAATTCTACATTGCTCTATAATACTGTAGGAGTGAGGGCAGGAGAAGAACTAGTATTGCTCAGGGACTTCCAAAGGATCTGCAGCCTCGGGGAAATGTGGAGAAAATGTGGATTAAATAAAAGAAATATTTATTTTTTTACATTTCTAGCTGTGCTGTGACTCACTAGGAGGCAAGAAGAGAAGTTGGGTTTTCTTCAGCCTCTTGCAGAGGCTGTGTATACACTTTGCGTAGGTTGTTGAATGGTAAGTGGAAGAATAAAGGTTGGCCAGCGTGGGGTTTCATCCTAAGTGGAGGAAGCTGCTCTCAGCTCAAAAAACCAGGGAGCAGGCTGTCTTCTCAGGGAGGTTGGGTGAAACACTTTACTACGTTTTGTGCTCGGAAGGGAGCAAACCTGGTGGCCCAGTGCTGGGATAGTCTGAACATCAGAAAATGCTTCACTTGCGAGAGTGGTCTTCTCTCCCTCTCTGGCAAAAAGATATTCTTACCAGTTTAAATTAGCACCATTTTGGCATGAGAAAAGAGGAGGAGTTCACAGTTGGTTTTGGCGCTTGCAAGTGTGAGTGCAAAACTATTTTCATAGCATCAGGCATGGTTTTGCATGCTGTGTGGAGAGGTAGCTGTGTGCTGGTCTGCCATCAGCCCCTTTCTCATCTATCTCTTGCTATTGCCAGGCCAGTTGCAGGAGTCTCCACTTCTGATTTTATTTTTCAAGTGTTCAGCTTGTCTGGTCTACCTGTTCGGGATTTTAATATTGAAAAACAAAATCTTTTTAGCAGGAGAGCTTGGGTGTCCTTTGAACTGCATTTGCCTAAATGAAGGTCTGTGGCTTTGGTGGCTGGATGCATTTTGGCCTTTCACGGTTGATTTAGCTGCCAGCTTGGAGTTACTAAATGAATGGAAATTCTCTGCAAGAGAGACAGTGCCAACAGGCAAACGCCGATTCTGAGCTTGCTCGTTATGCCAGACAACAAAAATGTTGTGAAGCTGCATAACACTTGCATTGTGATTAGGGGCATCACTTATTCATGTTCTGCAAAATAAACACATTTAGATGGCTGACCATGACGAGCATTTCAAGAAGTAATGGTCTTTAAGCATCAGCAAAGATACAACTAAGCTGAATATTGAAAATATTCAGAGCTGTGAGTACAGTTAATCAGTGAAATGCGTTCTCGGAAAAGGCAGTGATATTCCACATCACCTTTCAGTCCTATGTTTTTGGCTCCAGGAAGAATGTAATTAGTACCCTACTGAAGGTGGTGGAAACCAGCCTTCTGAACCTCGATGTGGACAGTAACCATCCATTAACCCACTGCCTCTGAAGCCTTTTGTGGAGCTGCTGTGCTGTAGCCCTGCTGGGGACGAGGCAGTCACGAGGCAAATCCTTGAGCTCTTCCTTAATAAGAGGAAATGTAATTTTCCACAAGAAGAAATTTTTTGCTACTGTGTTTTAGCTATGAATGCCTTGCTCTTCAGAGCATTCATCATGAGCCTATAATGTTTTAGCCGTAGTTACATACCTTAATTGCTTAATCTCCTGGGTTTACAAAAGCTGGTCTTATGGCAGCAAATGGATCAAAACCTGAGGTTTCACTTTCTGCATGGTGGTTAAGCTGGCGACACGAGCCATGGACAGGCTGCTGTCATCTGAGCAGGTCTGTTAATTTGGGAGTGCTGGAAAGGGACAGGAGACATCCATCGACCGTCCAATTGTGCTTGCTTTGGCAGCACATATACTAAAAATAGAATGACTCAGAGAAGATCAGCATGGCCACTGTGCAAGGATGACATGCAAATTCATAAAGCACACCATATTTTAGGGAAGTGGTCATG